GTAAATTTTCAAATTTTTAAAACAATGTATTACAATGTATTACAGTAGAAGACACATTGCCAGAGTCCCCTTCATAAATACTCCCTCTCATTTAAAACACACTTATCCTATCATTCTTGTCACTTGTTTATTAGTGTACGTTTATGATATACAACAATCACATTCATCTTGGGGAACTGATACATATATAAATCGTGTCTTGATCATTCTTACTTGCCACTTTCTGAGGCCGTCATTTTTGTGTCTCTAGTTGTGTTGTTGTGCCTGACTCAATGTCTTCAATCAATTCAAACTGTTTACCTTTCATGGTCATTTTGACTTTGAGGAAGAACCAGGAGTCATTAGGTGCTAGAGCCAGTGAATAAAGTGGAGGAGGACACACTATAATGCCTTTCCGCTGGATGACACTCTGAAACAGCATTCACTGTATTTTTTAATCACACCTTATAAAGAGACTCACAAAAGAGGACTTCTAGAACTGCTTTTGAAAATGGCAGGAATGATGGCATAAGTGTGTTCAAAACAGAGAGTATTCTGAGAGGGATCAGCGACAATGTCTTTTGCTGTAGGAAGTATTTTTAACAAATATGCATTGTATATTTTGACCACACCTCATATTCTGTTAGGTGTTTAATAAGTAAATCTATGATTCCTAATATACTAGCAACTTAGAGGGGTGTAATTTTATTAATTATCCTAATCACTAGAAATTTCTATCAAAGATAAATAAATCCACAATATACTAAATGGGAAGTTCATGTGCAGACATTATTTTTTAAATGAGAATACAGCATATTTAGGTGTAATGTTTATAATTTGTTCCGTTGTCACTGTGGTCCTAGTAACAAACCTCTTCAGGGCAGTTTGAGCATGCCATATTGCATTAGACTTAAAGAAATGGACTTCAAAAGGAGTTGGGGGTAAATCTTACATGGCCTAATGAAATATCCTCAGTTTAAGCAATTTACAAAGTGGGTAGTGCGTGTGGCGCTACCAATCAGATGCTGAAAAGCAGCTTCTGCACTAGGTGGAAGGTAAAGCAAGACACTGAGGAAGTCATTCCAATCTGATAGATTTCATGGTCATGATTGTAGGTGGACTATTTCTCACCATTCAAGGACACGTATTTGGACACATTCTCACATGCTTAAAAGCAACCTAAAGTCCAATGCAGTTGTCGTAGCTTGCAAGTAAGCATTAAAATTTGCAGAATGGACATCTCCACCTTGGAAAACTCCCACAAACGACCGCGAAGGAATCTTTTATAGAATGCTACATCACCAAGATTTTGATGGCACAGAATCTGATACGGTGGGGAAAAATAAAGATATCAAAACCCTGAATCCAAAAGTGACCCCAGGGACTGGGGATTTAGCTCAGCGGCAAAGCACCTGCCTGGCAAGTGCAAAGCCTTGAGTTCAATTCCTGGTACCGAAAGAAAAACAAAAAACAAAACAAAACAAAACAAAAAAAAGTGACCCCAAATAATGAAACCCAAGGTGACCAGGTCTGAAGAATATTTTAAACATAGGTTTGTCACTACAGGCACAACAGACATTTTAGGGCAGGTAATTTTTTGTCGTTGTGTGGGAGGGCGGGCAGAGAGATTGCCCTATGAATTATAGGATGTGTATTAGCTTCCTTGGCCTCTGTTTACTATATGCCAATAACACTTTACCAGTATAACAGCCAAAAATGTCTCCAAACATTGTCAAAAGTGCCCTGGAGATTTAAATCTCCCCCAGTTGAGAACCATTGCCTTAATCAATTTATTTTGCTTACTGTTTCCTTTTTATGCATACATAAGTGACGTGTTTTTAAAAAAAACAAAATTAGTCCTGATGAGCTACTGGTAAGAAAACCCTAAGAGATACACTATCATAATTTGCAGCAATTTTTTTGTGGTACCTCTTAAAATCCACAACATCTTCAATTCAGTGGAATTCAGGCACCCACTATCCATTCCTCTTTGTTATGGAGCCTTCATTCTGATCTCCTTTTGAGGAAATACTACCCACTGTGTACAGCTGTACTAGTACCCAGTTCTTCCTTACCTAGTAATTTTCTACTCTTCTTTTGACTCTTTTGAACTATCTAATATGCTTCTAAAATTTTCCCTGCTTCCTAAGGAAAGCAGAGTTAAACTTCAATCTTCCAAAGAAATCTGACAAAAACAAGACGCTTATTTGAGCTACCTAGATAGTAGGCATTCCAGGATCTCTCCCTCCCACTAAGTTCACCCAGCCATTTAAAATTTTACTGTTTTCCTGGTAGAATGAATAGGGGAGTAGGTGAGACAAGACTGTTAAAACTGTGTGGTGGGTTATGGGGATTCACTTTACTTTTCTCTGGTTTTGAGTAAACTGAAAATATACCATGATTTAAAAAAAAAAAAAAAAAGGACTACATCAAAAGAGTTACAAAAAGAACTTCAAATATTTTCACAACAAAGAAATGATATTTGACAAGGCAGATAGGCTTACCCTAATTTGAAAGTTACACAATGTGTACATCTACTGAATATCACATGCTCCCCCATAAATATATACAATTAGTATTTTTTCTGTGATAATTTAAAAAACAATGAAAAGGGCTTTTCAAAAACATTTACTGGTAGTAACTATTGTTATAAAGGAAAATATGACAAGCAAAATGAATTCCAAAGTCCTTTTCAAACAAGTTTATTCAAAGCTTCAATTTAAGAATGCCCGTGTTCAGATCCCATGTGCAAGAGAACTAGTCGACAGCTCTGTGTGCATCTGAGGTGAAAACAGGAAACCTAGTAAGCAGAGCATGTACAAGTGACAGTACAATGGCACAGGAAGGCATCTCCCAAAACTACTTGCAAGTCTTTATTCAAATATAGGTAATAGATATAATCATGTACAAATGCTCTGTCACTCCAGAAAGTTGTTTTTAAAAGACTGAACATAAAACTTCCTTAATGCTTTTTTCTAAGGTTTCTTCTCTGGTGGAAAAAAAAGAAAGAAAAAAATAGCTATTGATTCTTCTACAAACTATCACGTAGATGAACACATACTTTTTGCCAAGATCTGACAGCTGGAAGTTTTCATGAAGGAGGCTTCAAACAAAACACTTAAAAAAAAAAATAATATAAAGGCTATACCACCCTCTACTCTCCTTAAAGGTGACAGAAAATAAATTCTTTATCAATAGTCATTTGTCCAGGTTAGAGCAAGGCTGCCAAGCCCATTCCACATGAGATATGAAATTGGCTCTCACTGGCACCTTTTATTCACCTCATCACCATTTACAACCAAGGCAGAGCAAACAGGAGTTGAATAACAAAGAAAACACACACACACACACACACACACACACACACACACACGATAGTTATTTTAACAAAAACCCTGCACTATATGAAGAGAAAGGAAACAAAGCAAAACCTATGTGAAATATAATAACCAAAGTAAATTTGAGTATAACCAAAAAATCCTTATTAAAATAAAATTGAATTAAAAATAATAAAATTTCAAAGACAAAAAAGCCCTACCATAACATGCTAATTTTCTCTGCTTCTTAATGAAAGTGATTTGAATTTTTCTAATATTTAAACTTCACTAATTATATACTCAAATCAACGTAACCCAATTAAATAATTATAAAATGCTACATGGGAAACCACTGAAATACACAGACCCTGTGGCAATACTAATTATATCTGGATTTTTTTTTTTTTTAAACCTAACCCATAAGCCTTCTCTACTTTCTGAGAAAATGGAAATCCTAATCTATAACTTATATTCTGATCCATATGTTTTGTGCAAATTGTGACTTAGCTTAGCAATTTGTCAAGAGAAAAACATATATGAGAACATTTTTCAAACCTATCATTTTGGGGAGGAAATACTTCAGGCTTGGAGAGGATAAATTATATGCTGAAAGACCTACGGCCAGTAAGGACTAAAATCCAATTCAAAGATTCTCTACGTTAGCTCTCTCAAACAAACAGGCAGTCTAAACCAAAACAAAACAAAAAGTACACAGTAAGAATCTATTCAGAGGTAGGCATGTATCTAGTGCTCACTGTAGAAAGACATTCCACATGACCATATAATGTGCTCTGTGCTATATGCAAATGTCAGAAATAGCACAGATGGGGAAGTACTTGACTATCTTGGATTAAAATGTATTCACACATTTTTATGCATAAGCATATACTCCAACGTCTTTAAAAAGTAGTAATTTTTACCAAAAAAAATTATCTCTGTCATTCTGGACATTGTTTTTTTTTTTTTTTTCTTTCAGTTCATAGCTCCTAAACATCTTTTGGGATCAGATATAGGATCCACTTGAGTATCTAGTATTCCAGTATAGGCACATACACTCATCTATCCAGTGCCCTACGATGGTCGTTTGGATTGCTTCTACTTTTCTACCATTACAAAACATTAACTACTATTCATAATAATAACAATAACAAAATAGAAGCATGGACACAGAAAAAAACTACAGTAATAAATGTTCAGAGTAGTGACTACAATGTGGAACCATAGAGGATTTTGATTTTCAACTTTACAAATTTTTGGTAACATCTTAATTTTACAGTAAGTACAATACTAATTAGTGCTATTCATTGAGGTACAATTTATGATATATGATGTTCATCATTAGCTACAAAATTATATAAAACCAGCCAACTTAATTTTTAATCTTAAAATGCATTCTTGATAGACTTAGAAATTACAGAGAAATTGTCAATACACTGTAGTCCCTATATATTGAGAAAGCAAAGCTCAGTACCCATTTAACTTAGAACTATTAAGATACAATGATAGGTTAGTCAAGTTTGCAGAGGATAACACAGGGCTCTAGTAAGCAGAATCCAAAACCAAACTGGCCAAGTTCGTATGCTTAGCACATTTTGAAGTTCAATCATACACAAATAATGTCTTACAACAATCATTCTTCTCTAAAAATATTTGATACATATAACAACTGCACCAAAATCTCTTCGAGATAACTATGAAACTCACCGTTTCTGATTCTCAGATTCCTTCTTGGCTTGCTCCAATGCCAGTTCTTCAGCCACTCTTCTTTTCAGTTCTTCATCAGAAACTAGAATTCAGCAAAGAGCAAAAGGAGATAAAATAAGCGCTTTCCTAAAAACAAAAGCAGGAAAATGTTCAAGAAAACAAAGCTAGGATAGAAGTGAATAGGGAAGTTTTGCAGGTTGTCGGTGTCTCCTTGGAAATTCCTAGGCACTAGGGAAAAAAACAGCTAGCGCACTTCAGGAGTAATTTACTCAGGAGTTCCCTGGTAACCTAGAAATTTCCAAAACTAATAGCATTTATAATAAATTGAGGGAGCTGCTCACTGCCCTGTGGGGACTGAAACATTACAGCACAAATTGTTTAAAATGATGCCCTACCATTAAAGTCTAACAATTACATGTAAGGGCAGGTCAGCCGGTAAGGAAATTTAGAGAAGGAAAAAGCACCAAACTATTTTCAGTTCAATATTTAACAAGAAATCATTTATTACAGACAGAAAATTATTTGTATTTATATTAATTTTCCATGCTTTATTAAAAAGGCACTTAGGATTTACAAAAATTTGGAAACTATATTTTCTAAAACACATGCCATTCAAATTTCAGTGCAAATAACTGGAGAGAGACACAGAGCAGTCCTGAGAACACAGCTGGAGCTTCCTAAATACCTAGTGACTTAATTTGAAGCATCTGGTCTTCCCAATTAGAAGACTGCGTATGACATGTTTTGCAAAGCCTCTTTCAGTTATGATGATAAATAAAATGCACAAGCTTTACATACTTCCTTACTTAAGAGCCTTCCGTAAGACATAAGTAAAAAAGTATCCCTTCTTCACTATAAACGTTCTACCTAAAATTATGACCAAGAAAGCACCAGAACCATTTGGAACGATCTACGAATACACATAGAACTTCAACATTATTGCAAAAGATTGAGCCTATTAGAAAACTAGACAGTACTGTCTCTATTTCTGCATATATTATTGATAATTTAGATATTATATTAACCTTGCCTTATTCATATGCAAAAAAATTAATATATATGGCACACAAAACCCTTTCAAATTCTTAGTTCATACTAAGGAATAATAACGAATGTAGCTGAGAAGTTGTAAAGATATTTTCTCATAAAAGTGTACTGTCAGAAAGCAACAAGAGCATAATGTTGTAATACCATGAAGAAGGTGAAACCATAACCCACAAAATGAAAGAAAGTAATTGCTAATCATACAGTTGACAAGAGATTTGTGTCCAGAACACATAAGTATACAGAAAATACAATATGTGAAAAAAGATACCTCTTACAGTTATATAATAAAAAGGACAACCCACTTAAAATTAGGATAAGGACAAATTAGGCATTTCTAAAAAGCATGTAATATACAAATAATCAATAAGCATATAAAAAAGTTGCTCAAGCTCATTAATCATTAGTAAAAGGCAAATCAAAACCACAATGACATGCCACTTAATGTGACATGGCAGACAGTAACTGTTGGTGAAGACATGGAGAAACTGGAACCCACATACACTGCCAGTGAGAATACAAAACCACGTAGCTACAGGCAGTTCCTCAAACTACTACCCAGGATTACAGTTATGTCCCAGCAATTTAACTCTCAAGTACTACATATATTAAATGGAAAACATGTCTACACACCCTTCCAAAAAATGTTCACAAATATTTATAACAGAATTATTCACAATATCCCAACAATGGAGACAATCTAAATGCTCATCAGTGGGTAAACAGACAAAATGTACTATCACAGTTTAACAGTATTTAGCCATACAAAAGAATGAAGTATGACCCATACTCCAACACAGATGAACTTCTATTATGCCAAGCGAAAGAAGTCGGACACAAAAAGCTATACATTATATGAATTCATTCATATAACATATCTAAAATAGCAAACTAGCAACTGTGTTCAAAAATCACAGAAGTGATTACCTGGGATGGGACAAAGGTGAAGTTGGGGGATGATGATGATGATGATAAGCTAATGGGTACATAATTTCCTTTTGCAGTGGTAAAAATGTTCTAAAATTAGATTGTGTGGTGGTTGTATAGCTATATAAATATGCTAAAATTCACTGAATTACATACTTTAAATGCGTTAATTTTATAGCACTTAAGTATATTTCCAAAAAACAAAGGTAGGAAAAGACAAGGCCAAGAAAGCAAAGGAAAAAAGGAAGAAAGTAAAAAGAATACAATAGACAAGGAAATCAAAAAAAATAGAGGAAACTCCAGTTGAGGTCTAATCCTCGAATGCCCATCAGTAATCTGGGGGACTTTGGGAACATTACTGACCTCTCTCAGCAGCAATTTTCTCAAAAGGCTGTTCTCTAAAGTTCCTTCCAACACTATTCTATGCTTCTATTTTGCTTCTCTCTCACTTCATAGTCTGTAACGTGAGAAAGATACAAGTCTCTGCTTTGAAAAGGTCACACAAAATCTAGAAAAGCAGTACAGCAGAGTATTCTATTTGCATTCAAGCAAATCTTAAAGAGTTCATTATTAACAACAATACAAGTAACAGCAGTTCATTTTAAAACACTACAAATTGCAGGTGGTAGGTAATACCTCAACAAAAAGGTCTCCATAGTTTGTTTTTCTACTAGCCAGACTTTGGGTAAATACATTATCTCTCTGATTTTTGGTTTCCTCATTCGAAGATAGGACACAAGTATGGGTTTGCTAGCTATGAAATACTGGACTATGCATTCCACAAGGTAATGACTTTCACAATTTAATCTACCCACGACAAGTAAAACTGTGACACATTTTGTTCATGTTGTACACAGACAGTAGCTCCATTAAAAGCAAATTTTAAAACAAATATTTAAGCTAATTAGTATTACCTAATCAAACAATACTCTCAAGTTTAACATACCAGTTAGGATCAATATACTATCAATCTATATAAGCAAAATCATACTGCTTCTTGATGAGTTCAACTTATAACACCAAAATTTTTCTTGTACAAAATTCAACATTCTTGATCAAAATCCAATTTAACTCAATCAATTAAAACTAGGCTTCTATAAGTCTTCAGTATACCATGTCTAAATATAGGCAAAAGATCAATTTTCTAACTTGGCTGATAAAACAATCTCAGTTCTTCTTTTTTGCGATTTTTGGCATTTTTCTCCCAAATTTATCAAAATGTAACTGACAGACAAATCATTTATATTCAAGGTGTGCAAGCTGTATAATGATTACCAAAACCAAATTCACATATCACCACATGTATTTATCATTCACATGTGTGTAGTGAAAACACCTAAAATCTCCTTTATCATATTTCAACAAAATATTATAAAATAAAATCTAACATAAGTTGTGTACCTTGACAACTTCCTCATCTTATAACTGAACATCTATATCCTTCAACCAACATACTCCCATCCCTCTCCCCATTCAAAACCTCTGGCAAACACTGTCCCACTCTCTGCTTCCGAGTTCAACTTTTTTAGATACCATGTTTAAGTAAAATCATGTAGTATTTGTCTTTTGGCATCTGACTCATCTCATTTAGCATAATGTTGTATTTTCATACTGCGTTTTATGTCTGTTGTACAGAGGAAAACTCAAATGAACAATGAGTAATAAATATGAATAATAAATACTCAGATGTGATCAACCAGGAACAGAATGGTAAGGACACAATTATCGAGTAGTGAACAGCTTAGTGGATGAAAAGAAAGCCTTGCAGGTAAGACTGTGCAGAAGCAGTGGCATGGGGAAAAAGAAATCCAACTTAGGACTTTGCTGCTTCTTCCCCACACCCTTCTGCCTACCTTTGTCAGACCCACCACTTTCTCTGGCAAAAGGAGAGATCCAGTGCAGATAGGGAGCATCATCCAGGAAGACCACAAGGGAAGGGAGAAAAATGGGAATGGGAAGGCACCACTAACAGAAAGGGCAAGAAAGCTCCAGGAACAATGCCCAATTGGGTAAATAAACTGGGTGTTATCACTTCTGGTCAGTAAAAGGACTAACACATAGCTGTCTTTCTGTATTTCTAGAAAAGGAAGGGAAAAAAATTACAACTTTTGGTCTCAAGCCCAAGGTCACACCTGAAAAAGTAATTACCTTAGCTACAATCAAGATTTTAAAATAACAAAAGATAAAACATGACCTAGCATAAAGAGTTTAAAATAGCAAGTCAAAGCAAGGGCAGGAAAATAAACCATGCAGTAATGATGGGTTTTGAGCAGATCTAAGCTTCAGGTTATTTGTTTTTAAATCAATAAAATATGGAAAGCAACAATACATTTCTTCCGGTAAGTCTGATCCAAAGTGCGTAAGGGAAAAAGACACACGATTTGGACACTACTATTTAAAAATGCCCTTTTTGAGAACACTTTCCAGCTCTTAGGATATGAACATTTTCTCAAATAAAACTGTTATTAAACTAAAAGGTCACTGTTTCAAGATGGGCTACTTGAAGGGAAGTACAGGAAAGGCCAACTTTGCCTATTAGCACAGCGAGTCTCCAAGCACATCAGCAGTTAGGGACTGACAAAGTCTGTGAAATGAGAAATGTTCAAGCTGCGTCAATCAGTTTTGCCATGAAAGTTAGCAAAACTATTTCAAGTTCAATAAATATGGTTCTGTGACTTTTACATACATACACATTTTCCCTTTAAAATGCGTTAAGGCATAAGAATGTTTTCTTCATGTACTTGTACCCTGTATCTTTTTAAATCTCAAACAGAATTTTAATTTCTTTCTCAACAGCAAATGAACCTTAATGAGCACAACACTGCCATTTTGCTCTTTAGTTACAGATGACTTGACACTGACCATAAAACATACAAGAAAAAGTCAAGCACTGCAACTGCTTGGTTACACCAAGTGTGGCCCTAAACTCTACCTGAAACCATTACTGAAAATAATAAATATTAAAATTATTAAATGTAAGTCATGCCTAACAAATTTTTGTTTGATTGCTTGTTTCAAATAAACAAATAGATTAGCTTGTTCAAAGAATCTTCTTTCCTAAATCCCTAGGAGTCTTTTAATTCTCTTCATTATCTAAATTTCTAAATTTGG